CTCCCTCCCCCTCCCCATGGTGGCACTGTTAACTCCACCCACAATATAGAATCCAGTACGGGACCCTCCGCTGACACCTGGAAGCCACCGTGGCACCAGCAGTCTGATGGTTCCATCGATCCCTGGGGCCTTTGCAGTGGCCAAGGACTTATTTTGCTCCTGATTCCCCCGACTCTGATGGGATAGCTGCTGGCCCCAATGTCCATGAGCAGGAAGGAGCATGGATCTTGGAGCTCCTTCCTGGGCGCCCTGGGTCCTTCTAGGGTCAAGCTGACCCTGATACTGTTGTCACGACCGTCTCCAGTCCTTGGACCCCCGGCATTGAATGGAGGCAGAGAGGGGTACTACTCCACAGTGGTCACCGAGGGAGGACTTCTGAGTCTGAAGGGGAGCCCTACATTCAACCTAAGGGCCACCACTGGTATCCAGCTTATGCACCACCAGACCTTGGCGCGAGTCCCCCTGCTAGCACCTGGCCAACGGGTCAGTGGCCATATGGTAACCCTTGGGTGTTTCCCCCGGTACTGGGTCCTCCCTCCCATTGATCATACTCTATGGTTTCCAAGAGGCTGGCAATCGCTCCTTTCCGCTTGGCACCTGACCCCGAACCTGGTATCTATGTTCAGGATGTAGTTCCCATGGATGTCATTGAGGCTGAGGAAGGAGTCCCTCCTCTGGTGAAAGTGGCTGCCTTCTCCTCCCCAGATGAGGCTGTCTTAGGGCCGAGTAGCTCACTTCCTCAGGGCTCATTGGGACCTTCTGAAGCGGATAGCAGCTAACCTGGGGCTGGAGCTTAAGGAATCATCACACAGCCTTATTGACATTCTGGCTGTAGCTGTCCAAAATGGCCTTGCTCATTAATGAGGTTGTAATGGGTTTGGTCAAGGCCCTGTGGCAAACTCCTTCTCTGCCCCCCACCTCAAAGAGGGCAGAAAAGAAATATTATGTGCCAGCAAGTGGGTACAAGTACCTATACTCCCACCAGGGTCCCTGGTTGTGTCAGCAGCCAATGAGAGGGGCAGGCAGGGCCAGCTGAGCACTACCCCCGAAACAAAAGAATGCAATAAAACTGGACCTGTTTGGGAGAAAAGTTTATTCAATGGGTAGCCTACAGCTGCGTATCTGGAGATACGACTACAATCTGTGGGACGACTTAGCCAAGTTTAAAGAGACTCTGCTGCAGGACTCAAGGCAGAAATTCTCTGCCCTCTTGGAGGAGGGCACAAATGTGGCTGGGTCATCTCTCCAGGCAGCTCTGGATGCAGCTGACGCAGCAGCCAGGACAATGACCTCTGCTGTCACCATGAGGCAGTGCTTTTGGCTCCAGTCCTCAGAACTTTCTCACGAGGTCCAAGAGTCCATCCAGGATCTTCCCTTTCAAGATTCCTCTTTATTTTCAGAGCAGACAGACATGAGACTTTGTGGCCTGAAGGACTCAAGGGCCACTCTCAGCGTGGTCCTGCATAATATCGGACTGCTGGGTGCTAAGTACAGTGACAATCAGCTATACCTTTCAGTTTACATAGAATCATAGAATATCAGGGTTGTCCCCTACACTTTCCAAAAACTTCCTGGATTGTCTGTGCACCAGATTGCTCTCCCAGCAGATATCAGGGTGATTGAAGTCCCCCATTAGAACCAGGGCCTGTGATCTTTATTCGACATTGGTGAGGCCTCATCTGGAGTACTGCGTCCAGTTTTTGGCCCCACCCTACAAGAAGGATATGGGAAAATTAGAAAGAGTCCAGCAGAGGGCAACAAAAATGATTAGGGGTCTGGAGCACATGACTTATGAGGAGAGGCTGAGGGAACTGGGATTGTTTAGTCTGCAGAAGAGAAGAATGAGGGGGGATTTGATAGCTGCTTTCAGCTACCTGAAGGGGGGTTCCAAAGAGGATGGAGCTCGGCTGTTCTCAGCGGTGGCAGACGACAGAACAAGGAGCATTGGTCTCAAGTTGCAGTGGGGGAGGTCTAGGTTGGATATTAGGAAACACTATTTCACTAGGAGGGTGGTGAAGCACTGGAATGCATTACCTAGGGAGGTGGTGGAATATCCTTCCTTAGAGGTTTTTAAGACCCGGCTTGACAAAGCCCTGGCTGGGATGATTTAGTTGGGAATTGGTCCTGCTTTGATTTGAGCAGGGGGTTGGACTAGATGACCTCTTGAGGTCCCTTCCAACCCTGATATTCTATGATAAGCAGGAAGGGGTAGCGATCTGAGGGCTTGATGAGTCTCCGCAATCTCTCCGTCACATCGTGAATCCTAGATCCTGGCAAGCAGCAGACTTTTCATTTTTTCCGGTCAGGACGGCAGATAGATGACTCAGTCCCCCTGAGGAGGGAGTACCTGACCACCACTACCCGCCTTTTTCTTCTTCTGGAAGTCACATGCTGCCAAATTTCTGTCCCCGCTGCGCAGCCTGCTCCAATTCTTCAGAATGTTGTGCCCGTAGAAGCATATCCTGACGTCTGTCTAGGAAATCTTCGTTTTCTCTTATGCAACGCAGGGTTGATACTTGTTTCTCTAGACCTTGAAACTTCG